TCCCTGAAAGGAGTTCCCTGTCATCCCAAACACTCCCTGCACCTGTGCTCCCTGTGACCCCAAGCAATCCCTGGAGTGGAGCTGTGTGTGATCCCAAGCAATCCCTGGAGTGGATCACCTGCTCATCGCAGTCTGACTCCAGGTAGGAGGAATCCTTGCGCAGGCAGTTCTCAAAGCCGTGCTCGTCGCTCTCGTTGAGGCACTCGCAGCCAGCCTTGTTAATGAACGGCAGCAGATCCATCTGGGGATAGAGAGCATTGGCTCAGGGCACTGCATATCCCATGGGATTGGGGAGCTTCCATGGGAGAGCATGGCCACGGGGAGCTGCACATCCCATGGGATCAGGGACACACACAAAGCCTCAGGTGGTACCAACACTGAACAGGTTCAGTGAACTATCAGGTGTACCTTCCCAGTTCTCCAAGGCATTTTGAAGAGGGATTATTAGCAATAATAATTATTGTATTCCTCTGTGTCACTCAGGCCAGGCACATCGCCTTTGCCAAGTATTCCTGAGCCACCATTTTTAGTTTTTGTTCTTTTAAAGGCACAAAGAAACACAAGGTGAATGCCTTTAGGATCACCCACCCCAGCAAATGTTCAGAAAAGAAAGAATGAGACTTTTTTCACTTCATGAAATGTTTGGGAACACATGCTGGGATGGCTGAGAAGGAAAAGGTTCATCAAGGGACACAAAAAAATTGTTTTCATGACTACGGAAATTTTTCATGCTTAAGAAATGTGTATATGTCAATATTTTAATTTTTTTCTGGACAAGAAAACCCAGATATGTGATTTCCTTGGGCAGCCTTGCCTAAAATCCAATGATTTGACTTCAGGTACATTTAAACACCAGGGTGTTTGACCACCTGAGCTACACAAGCATTCCAATCAAACTGTGGGGAGACACTCACGTATCCTTTGGGGATGTCTGTGTCTTCACTGTTGCCAGGATCATTCTCCAGGTGCTGTTTGATTTTGTCCTCCAAGCCCACAGCATCTGCTCCCTGGTACTGGTCAATCCTCACCTTGTTCCGGAAGAACAGGAACGTGGGGGTGGCTGAGATGTTGTTGGTGGCAGCTGTGCCCTGGCAGAACAAATGAGTCCCAGTCACTGCTTTGACTCAATCCAGTCCCACCAAGAAATCCATTCCGTTCATTTTTGTCTTTTTACTTCAAGAATTGCACCAATATTTGGTGTTGGAAAGGCTCTTTTAAATTCACCCAGCACAGATCTGAGCATTGGCATTCCAGCTCCCCACTCCTTGCTCCTTTCCCAGCCCCTCCCAGGACAGCAGCAGGATTTTGGAGCACAGACCCCAAACAGCAGCAGGATTTTGGAGCACAGACCTGGCACTGGTGCACATCCACCTCCAGGAACGTTGCCTGTGGGTATTTGTTACTCAGAGCGTTGAAGGCGGGAGCAATCCGCAAGCAAGGGCCACACCTGAGCAAAAAGTGACATTTTTTATTCCACTTTGCTTTTATTTCTCAATGCCTGCCCCAAACAGAACCAGAACATTCCCAATATCCTGCTGTAAAAATAGCCTCTCTACTTGGTTGCCAACTGGTGATACAATGAAAGATTACATTTAGGAATCTGCAATTTATTGTCTTTACTTCCAGCGTTTTTACCACGGTCCTACCCGATAAAGTGTTACAAAGAAGCACAAATCAGCAAAAAAACCCTATTAATAAAAATAACATTATTAGTTCATGTTGCCTCCTTCCTGGGAAAAAATTGTATTTACACATAACTTAAATATTTAATGGTCAACATGTACCAAAGCTTTAGGGATCATAAAATTTTTCCCGCAATAAATCTCATTTACACTTGTAACCAGTCATTCCCATATTTATTTGGGAGGACAGATCTGGTTTGTTTTTTTTTTATTTAACTGCACTGCCTTGGCTGAAAATGTTGTGTTTTTTACTTATTCTGCGTCAGCAAAAGTGCAGGAAGTGCTCAACTGCACCGATTCCCATAAAGGGAGTTTCTCACTGAGAAAGAGAAACGAAAATCAAATAAAAAAACACGATGTAGAAAACTGGCAAAAAAATCCACACAACTAAGAGGCAGCAGCCAGACAACAACGAGGTGCCCTGTGAAGCCGCAAACTCCCGAGATCATCACTATTCTCCCTAATCTCACAGATTAATAGCAATAATTCACATGTTGAGGTTTCTTTGGTGACAAACTCATCCCGATTTCATCACAGTTGCACCTCCCTGCTGAGGAGGTGAAAGGGGATAATCCACTTGTCCTGGGCAAATGGGTGCGGATCCAGCCAAGTTTTACGGAAGCAAAAGATGTTTTGCCAAGTTTTTAGTGTTGTCCATGCCTTGTTCCCATCAGTTTCCTGCCCTTTGACGGGGTTCTAAAGCAGGGCAGCCCTTGCTCCATCAGAGCACCTGACGGCTGGCAGGTCCGCAGGGCAGTGGGATCGGCGGGAAAAATGGGAATTTATTCCAGGATCTGGGAACACGGTGTTGAAAATAATATAACTTAGATGTTGTGACTACAGCGACGCGCTGCAAACCGCGCCGAGGAACCGCGCTCGGCGCCTTCGCAGAAAGCACGAATAACAACACGGAAACAGCGGAGCCCTTCCCGGGAGCCGCATCCCGGCCTCACTCACCCCCTCATGGTGAACTTCACCACGGCCAGGCGGGAGCCGGCGGCGCTCAGCTCGGGCTGGAACTCGGTGTCGTTGGCGATCACCTTCACGCCCGCCATGGCCGCGGGCCCCGGTGGCGGTGCCGGGTGCGATGTGCAGCGTCACGGCGGGCAGGACGCCCGGCATGCACCGCTGGCACGGGCGCAGGCGCGACCGCCCCGCTCCGCTCCGCTCCCGCCCGGCCGCCGCCGCCATCTTGGGGCAGGGCAGTGATGCCGCAGTGACGCCGCCGGCGGCCATTTTGGGAACGGGCAAGCGCGGGAATTCCGTGAGGGGAGACGCGCCTTCAAATTTAAACATAAAAATTTAGTACTAACTTCGTCATGAATTCTTTTTTTAGTGACGTTATGGGGATGACCCTTCTGTCTTGAAGGCAAGATTGGTGTAAATTTTTGTCACCTTATTTAAATTATGTTTTTTAATGAAGTTAAACTGTCGCGATACTGAGAATTTCTACAAAATTAAAAATTAATTTTAAAATTAAAAACAAAAGCGGGGGAAATAAGAGATGAATAAATGCTTGTAATAACTACAAAATAAAACCGAAATTAAACCCAGGACTTTCATGACCCCATTTGCAGCGTCATTGCTGACAACTTCCCAACGTAGTTTATAACATAGCATAATAAATGTCACTTCAAGATATCTCATATTTCCGCTTTTCCGAATAAAAAGCAGGAATATCCCCAGCATTCTGCTCCTGGATTTTGTAATTTAAAAGCCTTACAGTAATGAGTAAATAATTAATTAAGAAAGCAAGTAATCACCAGCTCCCTGCGCGCCCTCAGCGGAACCTAGCCGTTTCCGCGGCGGCGGCGCCTGCCGTCAAGTGTGCCTGCCAGAGCTTTACGCCAGTGTCGCGAGAGGCGGTGTCATCCGGCCGCTGCCGCACCGAGCGCGGCGGGGCCGGTGCGCCCGGGGCTCGTGAGGGCCGGGACAGTGACCGGGACCGGCACCGAACAGGCACGACCGGGGAAGGAGGCGGGAGAACGGCTCGGTCCCGGCGGGAGGGGTGGGGTGAACGCCTGGTTCTCCGCAGGCCCCGGGAGTACTGAGGGGGCTGCGGCGTCGGGAGGTTCAGGGACACGGGATTCAGGGATCCTGGGACCCGGCTGGCCAGGAGCCCGAGGATTCAGGAGCCCAGGTATCCTGGGACACCGGGAGCGGCCCCACGGTGTTAAGGGAGAAGGATTGGGTTTAGAAATCCCTCAGGTTTCCCCTCAAGACGAGCGCCTGGTTATCCGTGGATGGAGGCTTCCATCTCTCCTAAGGAGAGGCTCCTCACCCTCCCCCTTTGGGGACTTAAATTAATTTTAATGCTAATTTTTTGGTACTTCGCAGCCTTCCCCATTTTATTTCCCTTTCCTGTGCCACATACGGTGCTTTTGGCGCCCAGGGGTGGGATTTGGATTTCTCCTGCTGCTTTGGATAACTGTCCTTTGTGATAGCTTCAAACAGGAAAAATTACACTGGGTTCAGCCTGTCATCAAATTAAGCACCAGGAAAACCTGCAAGTGGCTTCCAAAGGTGTTAATTAACTCAGATCTCATGTCCCAAATTAGTATTTCCTTCTCTGTCTTGGTTTGGAACCTCCTGCATACCTTGGGAAGGTGTTTTTGTTATATTTTCACTCCCTCAGTGGGCTCTTTTCTCCATCCTTAAATAATAAGTTGAAAGTCTAACTTGTAATTAAATTTAAAATAATTAGATTTTCCTGAAATGCATAAATAGCCTATTCGTAGCTATTTTGTACTATTTAACGCTATTTTGTGCTATTTAATAGTATTTTGAGGGCAGGTTATTGGAGTGTGCACACATCTCCTGCGATTAATTCCTTGCTTAATGAAAGTACAAGTGTGTGGGAAGAGTTACTCTGAGGTAACAAAGGTGGAGTTACTTTTGCTTTACCCCTTGCCTCATGGATTTATTCTGTTGGGGGGCTTTTCTGGCTGTAAAAATCCATCTTGTGGGTTTCTGGGTAGACAACTTGAAAGGGTGTTTAGTTGAGTCTTGGATTCAGTATTTAATACCTTGTACTTGAAAAATCAGTTCAGTGGCTTGACTGAAATAGGAATTGATCCGGGATTATTAAATGTGCCTAAATCCCACCTTTAAGCAGAGCAGTTCAAAGAGTCGTTGGATTATTCTGCCAGGTTAACACATTATTTAACATTCTTTTGGTCAATTTCTTCATTTAAATAATTGTTTTCTGTTTAAATATTATAAAAATCCTGGTTTTGGGAAAGTGTTTCTCCACATCCCTGCATTTGTTTTATTTATTGTACAATATTGTTATATGCATTCCCACATCCCTGGACTTACTGTATGTATAAGATTAGAATTATTTCTATATTATTTATTGTTATTTGAAAGGTTTTATGTTAGAAAATTTAAAGTGAAGGGAATAACTACAAGGATGATTAGATAGATAGATATGTACATGGAATAACAGAATAATCTGCTTTGTTGTGGCTTGGGAAGAAAACCAGGATTTTGGCACTTGTGGAAGTGATAGAGACAGAAATATTAACAGGGAGAACTTTACTCGTGGCACCTCCATTTTGCACTTCCAAGTTCCCTTTTTCTGCAGGAAATTGTGGGTTTTGGGGCAGTTCTGAGTGGCTGAAGTGTAAAAATTGGTGTGGAATGATTCCCTGTCTGTTTCTGGGCCTGTTTGGCACTGGGACAGTTTTGATTTGCTCCTGTACTTTGTCATCGCTGATGTCAAAAAATGGAATTATTGATTGTTTTCAGACAAAAAGGGATTTTCGTGCTGGCAGGGGCTGCAGTTGGGGTTTGCTGTGGCTAAGATCTAGAATCCCAATTCCTGGAGAATTAAAATGTGGCTTTTCCTGAAAAGGAAGTTTTTTCTGAAGACTTTGCGCTGCCATAGTCAAAAACTAGAAGGGAAGAGGTAGTTTTTCTTTTTCCTCTCTCTCCCAGAGCCTTGCTATGAAATATTCTGAGAACTGTGTTTGAAATGGGACTGTCAGGGGGTTGATAATGTGTTTTCTGCATGGAAAATGTGGAATCTCTTAGGTCAGTTATGTGCTAATGCTCTTGTATGTTGTAATATCCTCCTATATGTTCCTTTTGAAAATTCTCTTTATTGTGAGTGCAGTGGGTTTGGCAGTGTTCAGAAGTAGCTTTAAATGCAGAATCATTAAGTGCAGGATCTCGAGCAGTAATTCTGTGCCCCAGTAGGGGAGTTTCTGTATTTATTAAAAAATGCAGTTGTTTTTGACAGCCAGGGGACACAGGAACACTGACTTGTTCCTTGAACTGGGACCAGTAGGACAGCAGAGCAGTGGGAAGGGATTTTTGTGTTGCTTATTGGCGTTTTTCAGCTCTGGTTTAGTAATTTTTGGTTTGTTTCCTCACAAAAATTGGATGGGTATTTCTATTTGCTGTGGGTGGCTTTGTTCTTGTTGATATTTGCGTTTTGTTCTGTTGCATCTGGACACTTGATTCCTGCTTTTATTCCATTTTTATGATGATTTCCCTGCAAATCAAGCCTGGTTTAATTGTAGCTCTTTGTTTGTCACCCTGTTGTTTAAAATGCTGAAATAATTTCTCTTTCTGTGTTGTGATGGTCCAGACAGAGCAATTGATCCAGCATTGCATAACAGTTAACTCTGCAGGGCCAGGTGTGGTTTGCAGTGTGGATTTTTGTTCTTTATTGAACCTGATCATTAAATCTGAGCTCTTAATTAAATGGCTTTGAATGAAGATGGACCAGTGGGCTGCCAGAAGTGAGCTGCTTTAGTGGGAAGGGTCACTTGATGTGATATTGCTGATTTTGTGCTGTGGATTTTGTGGAAACCCCACAATTGATCCCTGAGTTGTCAGGAGCCTCTCAGGAGCCATGTGTAATCCTTAGCCATTCATTATCCTGCCCTTGCTCCCTCCCTTCCCCCTTTTTTCCAGGGACACAGTCCAGTTCTCTGGCTGCAGAGGGTGGCAGCACTCATGAATGGAATAACAGTTCCTGTGGTTTTTATGTGGATAAGAAATGACAGGAATTTCTCTTGGAATAGGTCAGGGCACTGGCACAGGTTGTGAGGGAAGCTGTGGATGTGGATCCTTGTATCCATCCTAGGGATACCCATGGTTATCCCAGCAGCAAGTGGAGTTGGGAACCTCACTCATATTCAGGCTGACCTTTATTTTTCTGTTGTAATTCAGATTTATTCCCTCTGAAGTGCTGTGAAACAGGTTTACAGACTGGTGAAAAATGCAGATATTGCTGGGTACCTCAAGATAGAAGAACGTGTGTATAGCTATAAAATACCCCACAAAAACACACATAATTTAAAATAATTCTTCCATAAATCCTGCCTGTTTTGGTGTGTTCATGCTCCTCTAAATCAGAGCTGTGGTTTGAGCTGGGGTGAGTTCAGAGCATAAACCTCCACAGGATAATCCACAAGGAGTGTTTGGTTATTTATTTAACACGACCTTTTCACCGATAAGAAAACCTCAGCTCTAAAATCGTGGAAGTGCTCAGCAAGCTGGGAATGTTGCTACCACAAACAGAGGGTTGTTGTGGGGTTTAAATATTGTGCAAATTCAAGTGGGTTTTATTGCCACAACTTAAGTTTCTATTCCCAGTCACTGAGACCATTTTGGCCTGGGGACAGTTGAAATTCTGCTGTGTTTTTTGTGTCAATATGTTTGGAAGATCGGAAATGTTGCTGTAAAGATAGTACTGGACTTATTTCCTGCTGGAGAGTGGCCAGGATCCAGTTTATCAGTGGATTATACAGGGTTGATTCACCTGAAGCAGGATATTCCGTATTCCACCATGAATGTCTGTGTAGCAGGGACATAATAACATCAGGGATATAAAAACTGCTTCGGCCTTGGGGCTTAAAGCATTTCTTACTTCTAAATTACTCCAAAAAGAGAGATTTGGGCAAAAATCCTTGTGTGCACAGGGATGTGCTGTTTGGCCTCCACCTTTTACTGCCTTCCCTCTTGCTTTGAAGGAGAATAATTTGGATTTTGGGAGACAACAGGAGCCCCCCACCATGTAAATGAATGGCACTGTTGCCTCATACCTGGGGGTCATGTCTGTCTGTCTGTCCATCTGCTGCATCCTGGGACCACCCAAATGTAGGGGGAAAATGGCAGGAAGGATGGGGGAAAAGAGTGGGAAAAACATGGGGGAAGAAAATGGCAGAGACAGGAGGGGACAAGGTGGTAGAAACATGGGGGGAAAAGATGGCAAAATATGAGGAAAAAAGGGCTGGAGACATGAGGGGAAAAGATGGGAAGAAGAGCAGTAATAATGAGGAGGGGGAAGAAGGTAGGAAATATGAGGGGAAAAAGGTAGCAAACACGAGGGGAAAAGATGGCAAAATATGAGGGGAAAAAGGTAGCAAACACGAGGGGAAAAGATGGCAAAATATGAGGGGAAAAAGGTAGCAAACACGAGGGGAAAAGATGGCAAAATATGAGGGGAAAAAGGTAGCAAACACGAGGGGAAAAGATGGCAAAATATGAGGGGAAAAAGGGCAGGAAACCTGAGGGGAAGAGGGTGGAATCATGAGGGGAAAAGGGCGGGAAAAGTGAGCGGACAAAATGTCGGAGACAGGAGGGAACAAGAGACGTGAGGGGAGAAGATGACAAGCAGCTGATGGAAGGAGCAGCCCCGGCTGCTGCTGACGGTGCTGTGTTGCTGCAGTGGCAGGCGCTGCGTGGCCGTGGCCATGGCCGGGAACAGCCTGGTGCTGCCCATCGTGCTGTGGGGCCGGCGCGCCCCCACGCACTGCGTGTCCTCCCTGCTGCTCGTGGATGGCTCCGTCATCGTCACCGGCTGCCATGACGGGCAGATCTGCCTGTGGGACCTGGCTGCTGACCTGCAGGTAATGGATCCGCAGTTCACCTTCCCAGCACCGCCACGGCACCCTCGGCCTGACTCCTCTCCCAGTGACGGCTGCTCTCCCTTCCTACAGCGCTCTGCCAGCTTATCAAAGGGTGGTTTGGCTCTTGGGCTTCCTTGCTGCTCCTGCAGGAAGTTTTTTTAACTCATTCCAATTTCTTGGAGCTGCTCTTCTAGCTGAGCTGCTTAATATTGTGTCGTTGAAAAGGAATTGCTTCCCAGTATCCCATCTGGCAGTGGGAAGCCATTTTCCCTTTTCCTGGCACTCCTTGCCCTGTCCCAAGTCCCTCTCCAGCTTCTTGGAGCCCCTTTTGGCCCTGGAAGGGGCTCTGAGGTCTCCCCTTATTTATGAATATACAGGAACTCAACTTAATGTGCAACACAATCTTTTTCATTCAGCCAAACTCAGTTTAAATTTAACTGAGCCAAATCCAGCTCCTGGTTTGGAAATATTGAGAGGAGTTCACAAAATGCATTTTCCCCCCAAATTCTCATTCCTGTATGAAGCAGAAAGTCTTCCAAGATGATCCATTCACTGCTGTACCAATTAAATGTGGATGCACATATTAACAGATACATAACACATGAAGTAGAAGGGTGGGATATTCTGGTCATTTGGGTGATTTTCACTCCCTGTTTTCTTTCCTTGATCCCAGATCAATCCCAGAGCTCTGCTCTTTGGTCATACAGCCTCAGTTACTTGTTTATCCAAGGCCTCAGCTTCCAGTGAAAAGCAATATATAGTGAGTGCATCAGAGAGTGGGTGAGTTTCTAAGTGTTTATTGATGTGCAGAACTGCAATAATGGGAATTTGTCCCAAGTTTATCCATATATTCAACTCTGTGTTTGATTTTTATCCTCGAGAAAAAATTCCTCAGGAAATATATTTTATCTTCTGATTAGTTTTATTTATTAGTCACAGAGCAGCAGCTTAGAGGTAGAATCAGGAAGGATTTATTGTGCAATTGATATCCAAGTAGATTGAGATTTTTTTATCTAGAAAAAGTAGGGAATTACTTGCCTAAATAACCTTTTAGCATGCAATTTGAGGGGAGAATGTGTCAAAATTTAGAATTTCCACCTTGAGCCAATTTCAGGGCTAAGTAATCTCTTCCCATTGGATTTAAAACCAAAGTGTGTTTTAATTGGGAGTTTATCTGTCTGATGAAAAGGAGAAAGCACCTCACAGATTCTGTTCTGATTAAACTTGAATATGAAGTTTTAAATTAAAAACTGCTCTAAAGGGGGTAATAGCTGGTCATTTGAACTCCTGTAGGTTCTGTAGTTTATCCTCATAGGGAACAGGAGGTTGTGTGGATTTAGGAGGACTGGAAATTTTGAGTTTCTCTAAATTCAGTGGATATAACCCCAAATAAATAATTCGAGTGAAATTCCTCCCAATGTAAAGGGTTCTAAGTTCTGTTTTCCATGTGGGTTTCCTGTGTTTTAGGGAGATGTGCCTGTGGGATGTGAATGATGGCAGGTGCATCGAGTTCACCAAGCTGGCCTGTGCGCACACAGGCATCCAGGTGAGTTCTGGGAGGGATGGCAGAGTGGGAAGTGTACTCCTGGATTTGGGAAATACACTTTGGATCCAAAATGAAGGAACCTCTGTCCTGCATGGATTTCAGTTTGTGTTTGTTCACATCTGTGCAGTTCTACCAGTTCACAGTGGGCACACAGCGAGAAGGGAGGCTCCTGTGCCATGGACATTATCCTGAAATTCTGGTCGTGGATGCAACCAGCCTTGAAGTTCTTTATTCTTTGATATCCAAGATCTCTCCTGACTGGATCAGCTCCATGACCATCATCCGGTCCAACAGGACACAAGGTGATTATTTCTTGTGGCAGGGACACTTTCCACTGTCCCAGGGTGTTCCAAGGCCTTGGACACTGCCAGGGATCCATGGGCAGCCACAGCTGGATCAGCTGAAGTGTCCCCTGAGCACTGGTTTGCTCTGTTAATTGGTGTTAATTTGGGGGGCTTTAATTTCTGTTCCTGTTGTGGAGACTGGAATTCCTGAGAGGCTTGGGCGAAAATCCTGAATAAAGTACTTCTCTCTTGAGTTAAGGCTCAGCAACAGTTGTAAACTGGGCATTCCCAAAATCCTGGGGTGGGAAATCTCAGCTCTTATCCCCACAACAAATACATTGCTGGAACAACTGGAGATGAGCTCTGCTATGAAGCATTTCCTGTCAATACCTTTCATTTATTCCTTGTTCCATGACCATCTTCACAAATAACATTCCGTTTGGAAGCAAATGCTCCTGGAATGCTTGGTCAGGTTTTCATTTATGCTCAGATCTGCACAGGTGAGGAAGTCTTTGTGTTTTTGTGTTTCCCAGAGGACACTGTCGTGGCTGTGTCTGTGACTGGCATCCTCAAAGTCTGGATCATCACCTCAGAAGTCAGTCGGATGCAGGTAGGCAAAGATTGTTCAGTGACACTTCCTAGTAGGATGGAGGGTTCTGTTCCTAATACTCTGCTGCTGGTAGTCTTTTTCCTCTTTGCCAGTAGAAAATCAACTTACTGAATTTTCCTTTACTGATTTAAATTGCCATCAGAATCCCTAACTGATTTCCAAATTAAATGTAGGATTATGTCCAATTTTTCCAAATCTGTTTTTTATTTGTACCATGTAGTGATTTGGGTTAATATTTTGCTGAGCAGAGCATCCCATTTTTAGGAATATTTTATATATAGGATATATATATATATATATGTATATATCCAGCTCTCTGTTACTGGGCATTTCCTGAGTACTAATGAATAAAAGTCTTAAAGGAGATTTGCCCCTGGTCTCAGACCTGTGGTAAATCATCTCTTCACAGAAACCTCTTGCAAAAGATGTTTATCAACTAAGGAAAAGTCACCTTTGTTTAGGAGTGGAATCTGCTTCATTCCAGCTTCCAGGCTGGCTGCAAGGTCAGCACCACTGATTCCCTGCTGGGGAATCTGGGAGACTCAAGTGCCCAAAGAGGACACCACGTGCTGCTGCAGATGTGCTTAAGAGGAGTCATGGAATAAAAACTGCTCCAAGGCTTTGGGTTTTCCATGGAAATCTCCATCTGGCAGCTGCAGAAGTGCTGCAGTCTTTTTCTGTGGGCTCTGGTGTGGTGCTGGGTTGGTTGAGTGCTGGTTCTGTTTGGTTTAGGACACCAGCCCCGTGTTTGAGGAGGAATCCAAGCCCATCTACTGCGAGAACTGCCAGAGCATTTCCTTCTGCACCTTCACCCAGCGCTCGCTCCTGGTCGTGTGCTCCAAGTACTGGAGGGTAAGGCAGAGCCCCTGGCTCCTTCTCCCTCTGCAGTCTCAACTAAACTGCAGGAAAACACTGAGATGAAGATGCTCCAAGTCTCTTTAATGTACCTCTACTATATGTTTAATTTATTTCTAGATACTTAATCCAAATCTCTGCCTGCAGTGCAGATTTGGAACAAGATGATCCATAAGGTCTTTTCCAAACCAAACCAAACCATTCTGTGATTCTGTGATATTGAACCCAAAATCAGCTGCTGCCTAGGTATTTTAATGTGTAATTAATTGGTTAATAACAACAGACTTTGTATCCCATTTCCTCTCAGGTTTTTGATGCTGGAGATTATTCCCTCTTATGCTCAGTGCCCAGTGAAAATGAGCAGACCTGGACTGGTGGGGACTTTGTGGCAGCTGATAAAGTGATTGTATGGACAGAGGATGGGCAAAGTTTCATCTATAAATTACCAGCCAGGTACTCAGCAAAAAAAATATCCCTTTTATTTAATTTTTGATTAATTTGAATTGAACTGAATTAATTGAAGAACTACGAAAATATTGGTCCAGTAAGGGAAGACATGTAAATACGGAACTATAAAATAAATGAAAAATTCGGCATAAAAACAACAAGAGTAAAATCAAATACATTCTTTGTGACACCTTCATGGTGGGTAGGTGTGTTTGTTCTGGGTAGAGGTAGTGTTTTATCTGGAATATTCCCACATAAATCATACTGGAGCTCCTTCCTCGCTCTCACATGATCAGAGCATGAGGATGGGAGCACCACCCATATTCTACTGCAGGAATCACTCTTGAAATGCAAAGAATTTTATTCCTTTCTTTGTTTTTACACCCAGCTGCCTCCCAGCCAGTGATTCATTCCGTAGGGATGTGGGGAAAGCAGTGGAAAACTTGATTCCACCTTTATTGTACAGCGTGCTGGACAGAGCAGAGAAACAGGTATATCTCTCTTCTGATGGGCTGTGTTAGGTTTTGTCCTGCTGTAAAAGGAAGGGAACTTGGAGCTGAGCAGAGCACGTGGGCTGAGCTTGTTCCTTATTTTTTAACAGCTCCTAATATGTCCTCCAGTGACTCGGTTCTTCTGTGGCCAGAGAGAGTTTTCCTACAGGCTCTTAATCCAAGGAGACTCTTCAGGGAGATTGAGCATTTGGAGCGTGCCTGACACCCTTGACCAGCAGGAGGGTGCAAAAGGTACCTAATTAAAAGTCAGATCTTTGTGGTTTCTATGTGGTTTTGCTGGATAAAACCAATAAAATCCTCCATCTTGTCCCATACCTATCACTATATTAAACAAACCTCAAATTCCAAACCCTTCACCATGTTTGAAATCACACACTTCTGTTTAACTACACACCCGTGATTTTAACTCCATCACTCAAATTTGGAAGCCTTCTTCAAGGCCTCAGGTCAAAAGTAGTGTTCTCCAGGGGGCCAGTGCCAGAAAGCACAGAAAGCTGGAAAACCCCAGGTTTGTGGGCTCCAACATCAGATCTTTGTGGTTTCTGTGTGTTTTTGCTGGATAAAGCCGTGCTGCTTCTCCCACAGGTCATGCAGTTGGGATTTAATTGTTACCTCTTTGTAGGAGTTGTGGTATCTTCATCTTATCTGTAACAGGGTGGTGTTTTGCACCACTTAATTAGTGGCTTCTTTGAAGTCTCTTCTGTCTTCACTCAGAGCCAGGATTAAAAAATACACGAAGGAAATGAATTTTCTCGTGTTCAGGCTTGGGTGTTTATTAAACCTTATCAAAAGTACAAGAGAGTTTAGCAGCACTTCTAGCCAGTTAGTCAGGCAGTGTCACGCTGAAGATCATGAAAATCTAGTTATTAAAAGTATAAATAATATAAGTGCTAATACTTTAGTAGACTAATTAGCTTTAAAGGACCTCGTAACAGCTAGATCTTCCTCCATTTTCCTCACTTCTAGCAAGGAGGCAGAAGTGCTGTCAAATGCTCTGTACTTTCTAATAAGATTTGGTAAACAATCAAGCCCAAACACAGAAAAACCCATTTCCATCGTGTATTTGTTAATCCTAACTCTAAGTGAAAACAAAAAAAAAAAAACAAAAACAAACCGAAACCAAACCACTAATTAAGTAGTACAAAACTCCCAGCACTGTTACAGTAGCACACAACAAAAATTAGGTTCTGATCATGAGTCAGCGTCCCCGTATCGATACAAATCGATAAGGTGGGAACATTATCCCTTGCTGATATTTCCCCTCCTTTGCTCTCCCCAGGGCTGCAAGCGAGCACATCCATGTCCCTGCAGGAAGCCTTTGACCAGCTGAGCCCCCGTCCCGCGGGCATCATCGACCAGCTGAGCGCGGCGGGCGAGCCGCTGCGGGTCACGGCCAGCGTGTACATGCCAGCCCACGGGCGGCTGGCGTGCGGCCGCGAGGATGGCAGCATCGTCATCGTGCCGGCCACACAGACCGCCATCGTGCAGCTGCTGCAGGGAGAGCACACCCTGCGCCGAGGTACGGCCCTGGGGGGACAGGACGGACAGGTCACACACAGCTTGGAGTGTGGAGTTGTGTTGGTCTCCCGTTTTCTCTGGAATTGTTCCTGGTACTGATGTGCCAGCACAAATCTCCGGGAAAATCCTGCCAGTGTTTCTGCTGGGATCTGTGCGTTGTGCTTGGGCTGCTGTTGGATATTATTTTCATACCTTAGGGGTCTGAGTTGCAGAACAAACACTCAGGAGTGGGCTGTTCTATTAAATGTCTACTTTCCCCCTCTTTTCCTGTGTCATTGCCCCCCTCCCAGGCTGGCCCCCTCACCGGACTCTGCGAGGCCACCGGAACAAGGTGACGTGTTTGCTGTACCCTCACCAGGTGTCCTCCCGCTACGACCAGAGGTACCTGATCTCAGGTGGCGTGGATTTCTCTGTCATTGTCTGGGATATCTTCTCAGGAGAGATGAAACACATCTTCTGTGTGCATGGAGGAGAAATCACCCAGCTGCTCGTTCCACCAGAAAACTGCAGTGTGAGTTCTCTGGGATAACCTGGATAATGGGAATGATGGCATGTAGCACTGACCCAACTCTTACAACAGCTTCACCAAAAACATCTTGATTATTTTATTTATGATTTCTTCCATCATGTTTTAATTATAGAAAGAATTGAAAATAGGGGCTTTATCAAACCTATTAAAAATAAGAGTTTAGAGACAATTTTGCCTCTTGAAACTTAGCTGAATAAATAGAATTTAATGAGCAAAGTGACGTTGATTGAAAACTCTGGGGTTTGCTTAGCAGGATGGAGTTTAATACCCATTTTCTCATTACGATGTGCAAGGGATGGATTAAAGGAAATTTCTGGGCAGGGAATTCAGTGAGTTTGAACATTGATATAGGTGCCTGAGTTTTGTCCATTATTGGTCACCCTGCTTGGCTCAGTGGGGGAAAGGTTTTTAATACCAACTCTGCATGATGATTAAGTTTCTTCTCTTTTTTTCCTTTATCAGGCCAGAGTCCAGCACTGTGTTTGCTCTGTTGCCAGTGATCACTCTGTGGGTCTGCTGAGTCTGAGGGAGAAAAAATGCATCATGCTGGCCTCTCGCCACCTCTTCCCAATCCAGGTGATCAAGTGGAGGCCATCTGATGATTACCTGGTGGTGGGGTGCTCTGACGGCTCCGTGTACGTCTGGCAGATGGACACAGGTGAGCTCAGAGATGCTGATTTAATCTATTTTTCATAGAAATACAGATCTGCTCTTAGTGCTGTCAAGCTGCGGCTGAGGAGAGAATTCAAACACTTCTATTTGGAAGTTATCACTCCAGAATCACACTGGGGGATGTTTGAGCCTCATGGGAATTTAGGGAAAATTCCATCCTTTAGGAATGTTGGTTCATGTAACAGTGGTGGGAGTTTTGCACCACTTAATTAGTGGTTTGTCTTAGCTTTTTTTGCTTTCGCTTAGAGTGAGGATTAACAAAAACAGGATGGAAATGGATTTTTTTGTGTTTGGGCTTGGCTGTTTACTAAATTTTATCAGAAAGTACAGAGTGTTCAACAGCACTTCTAGCTACCGGCTAGAAGCCGGGAGAATGGAGGAAGATCTTGTTGTTACAAGGTTTCTTAAAGCTAAACAGTTTAATAGAGAATTAACACTTCTGTTAATTATTTTTTTAACTTGATAACTAGATTGCCATCACCTTCAGTGTGATACTGACTGATTAACTAGAAACTACTACTTGAAACCCATGGAGAAGGAAGATGAATATCAAACAAGACAACACTTACAATCTTTCATTTTGTTTCATTCATAACTGTGCTATAAAAACTTTACATTTAAAACATTTTACCATGTGAAAGCACACGTTCTTAATTAACTACACACTCATGATTTTATCACTCAAATTTAGGAGCTGTTTCTACGGCCTTAGGTTAAAAGCAGTGTTCTCCAGGGGGTCAGACAGCACAGAAAGCTCACAAACGTTAAGTTCCTGGGATCCAGCAGGTTCAGAGCCCAGCTGCTCCAGCACAGCAAGCTGTCCCAGCCAGGTTTGCCCTGTGCTGAGCTGCTGTCCATCCATGTGGCTGCTGCAGGGGCTCTGGACCGCTGTGTGATGGGGATCACAGCCGTGGAGATCCTCAGTGCCTGTGACGAGGCTGTCCCAGCTGCTGTGGACTCCCTGAGCCACCCTGCTGTCAACCTGAAGCAGGCCATGACCCGCCGCAGCCTGGCTGCCCTCAAGAACGTGGCTCACCAGAAGCTCCAGACCCTGGCCACCAACCTGCTGGCCTCTGAGGCCTCAGATAAGGTGAGTGTGCTTGCTGTTCTGCCAGAAAAATGAAATACAGGAGGTTTCCATCCTTGTAACCAGGTTTTCAGCCAGAGCTCTCCAAAACCTAACCGTGGTTCTTGCCCATGTTTATGTTGCCCATGATACCACTTGAATGTTATCCTGCTCTGTGGTTTTAGTCAGAATCTGGAATCATGGAATGGTTTAGGGTGGAAAAGCTCTCTAAAATCAAGTCCAAGCAATCCCCAGCACTATGCCATGTCCCCAAAGTGCCACATCCACAGGGCTTTAAATCCCCCCAGGGATGGGGACTCCACCCCAGGCCATTCCAGGAGGAATTGTTCCCAAGATCAGCCTAAAGCTCCCCTGGCTGAGCTTGTGGCCAGCAGAGTGCAGCAGAGCTCCGTTCCCAGCTTCTCTGTTTGGAGAGACATCTCCACAGTGAGAACATTCCTTAGAGCACCACCAGCAAAAAAATGTGTGCTCAGGGTTTCTGCTGCTGCTCCTGCTGGGAGAATTGAGATTGTTGTACTCGTACCTGCAGTGTTTTGTGTGTGGGCTCCTCATCCATCAAATGAAGGTGTTAGGGAGAATAAACTCCGAAACTTATAAACTTCAAATATAACTAGAATAAATAATACATAAATCAATAATAAGAATAAACTTCAAAACTTCTGTTAATGTTCTGGTTTTCCAGTCTCCTGTCTGACATTCTTCAGCTTTTATCCCAATGCGCCTTAATTTCTGCCTCCTCCCTTTTTTTCCCTGAGGGCTGGAGGAAGAAGGGAAATAACCAAGTGGTGCAGTAATTGCAGGCCTGGGTGAATTTGAGCAGCTTCTTTTCCAATGGTATATCCTGATTCCATAGTTCACCCTCCAAATATGAAATATTTAATGGGTTTTAAGCTTAGTAACAAAAGCAAAAGATTGTAATTTTGCTCTTCTTGGAATGTAATCTCATAGGATTCAGGAGAAGGAAACATGAACTTGTGTCTCAGTTTCTCTGTAAACATCTATAAATTGAATTTCTGTGGTTTGTGGGTGCATTTCAAACTTACCTCACCCACAGTTTCCCTAATGGAAATTCCAATTTGCTCTCTTGTTTTCGCAGGGGAATTTGCCAAAATACTCCCATAACTCCCTGATGGTTCAGGCCATCAAGACAAACCTAACAGATCCAGACATCCACGTGCTGTTCTTTGATGTGGAGGCCCTGATCATCCAGCTGCTGACTGAGGAGGCCTCTCGTCCCAACACTGCCCTGGTGTCCCCTGAGAATCTGCAGAAAGCTTCTGGTGCCTCTGACAAGGGAGGCTCCTTCCTCACGGGCAAGCGAGCGGCCGTGCTCTTCCAGCAGGTCAAGGAGACCATCAAGGAGAACATCAAGGAGCACCTCCTGGATGATGAGGATGAGGATGAAGAGGCCATGAGGCAGAGGAGGGAAGATGGAGACCCGGAATATCGCTCCAGCAAATCCAAACCTCTGACTTTGCTGGAATATAACCTCACCATGGATACAGCCAAGCTCTTCATGTCCTGCCTGCACGCCTGGGGCCTCAACTCCGTGCTGGACGAGCTGTGCCTGGATCGCCTGGGCATGCTGAAGCCACACTGCTCCGTGTCCTTCGGCCTCCTGTCCCGAGGTGGCCACATGTCCCTGATGCTGCCTGGCTACAACCAGCCCGTGGGGCAGCTGCAGGAGCTGGGCAGGAAGGTGGCAGTGCCAGAGGGTTTGGGCAAGGGCACGTACGGCGTGTCACGGGCCGTCACCACGCAGCACCTGCTGTCCGTCATCTCGCTGGCCAACACGCTGATGAGCATGACCAACGCCACCTTCATCGGGGACCACATGAAGAAGGGTCCCAGCAGGTATGGCTGGCCACTCCCCAGTCCCCAGGGCTTTCCTTTAACACTGGCTTGGGTGAATTGGATGGCTCCCAAAGCCTTTGGGCTGGAGCTGATGTGTCCCTCATGGGTGTTTCATGTTCAGGCCACCCAGGCCAGGCACCCCCGAGATGGCCAAGGTGAAGCCCCCGCCTCCAGTGTCCAGCCATGCAGCACAAGGGCAAATCAAACAAGGTAAGAACCACTTCCTTTGCAACCCTTGGAGCTGGTATTCCTGAATTAACACCTTGTTATCCTTGTTATCAAGAGAGAAAATGATTGCTTGGGAGGAAAAAGTAATGGAGTGTTAATCTCGATGAAATTATTGGGGATTATTGTTTAAGAATCAATACAAGATGCTGATTCTGCCATGGCATTATTCCCTGACAAGGAGTTTTTGCCTGTTTCAAGTGCTCCCAAACATCCTGGCTTTGAGGAGAGTTCATGCCTGGAGCTAAAGGCTCTACAGACTGATCCCAAAGTGTTTCTGTGGGAATGATCCCAGCTCGGTGCCAGCATCACTCCTTGGCTGGCTGGAACTGCTCACGTTGGAAGAGAGTGAGCAACTCCAGCAAAACTTTCAGTTCTAGTTTCAGTCTGGGGTGGCTTTGTGCAGCTATCATTTCTGTTTTCCCTAAATTAAGCATCTTTTTTGATGCCCTTTGTCCAAGTGGGGTGGGAACGGATTTACTCCAGCCACTCTGTGCTGGTGGTGTGGGAAGCCTGGAAAAAAGAAATGGATACAGATGCTCCCCAAAAACAAAAAGGTGGGGCAGCTCAGGCTGATTAAGGGTTATTTTGGGGCCTTTGATGTACAGTCCAAATCTATGGAAATATGGGAAAAGCATGAGAAGAACCCAAAATTCCTGGGTTTCTGATTTACAGTCAAATATGAAGTCGTACCAAACCCACCTGCCTAAAAACATATTTAAAATCTCTGGATTTAGGTGTTTGGTCTTTTCAAAACATCCCAGTTTCTCTTGCTGTCTCTATGTTCCTCTGCAGCTGCATGTCTGCCTCCTCCTTCTTGTAAAACCTGGAATTCTCATTAAGTTGAATCTTATTTTGAGTTGAACATTATTTTGAAGCCAAGTATTATTTTTGAGTATTTAAGTTGGAGATCATCGCAGCCTCCTCTTGTTTTCCATTCTCCAGTGATACTAACCTGTTTTTCTGCTGCTGCTCTCCTCACTTCCCTCTTTTTTTTTTCTCTCTTTTATTTCTTCTTCTTTCCTCTGCAAGTTGCTCCTGCTGCTGCTCCCAGCACGGAATCTGGGCACTCTGACACTTCTGCTTTCCATTCCTGTTTCTTAGTCAACGAAGGTATTCCTTCCTCACTTTTCTACTTGTCCTTTACTTCAGCTAAAATCCTTTCTCATTGTTATTTTTATTTTAATTCTTCTTTGAACACGGGGTACCTGGGGTAGGGTTCCAAAAAAATTTTAAAAAGGCAGTTTCACACCACTTAAATCTGAGTTTTGGTGTTGATGGAGATTTGAATAGAATATTGGATGTAATATTGGGCATATTTATTATAATGTGGGGTACTTCACAAGCATTTTTACACACTGTGTTATTTGAACTTTGTATTTCTCTCCTGGTTTTAGCTACACAGACATGTAGTAGGAATTCACCTGGATTAAGTGTGTTAAAATAAAAATTCAGGTGGAAAATACACACAGCAGGCAAAGTGTGCTTGCATATATTGACCTAACTTGAAACCAGGACAGAAAATCCTGTGTGATCCTGGAAGGGATGAGTCCCCTGAGCTTGCTGTGATTGCTGTGTGAAATATCACCACAAATGCCTGTCCCTGAGCTGGGCTGTGTTCATCCCTTGTGTCCTGCTGTGTTTTGCCAGGCTGGAGCCAGCTGGCTGCCATGCACTGTGTGATGCTCCCAGACCTGCTGGGGCTGGAGAAATTCCGGCCCCCTCTGCTGGAGATGCTGGCACGGAGGTGGCAGGATCGGTGCCTGGAGGTGAGATCAACCTGAATATTTTGGGATTGCTCTTGGCCTTCAGTGATGAAATCTTCCCTTTGCATAAAGACCCCAGTTCATTCTTTTCCAGCACAGATGCTGCAGTTTTCATTCGTGATTCCAGAATATTTTCTAGTTAAATCCCAGTTTAACCCTGTCAAAAATGCCATGAAACATTTGTGTTGATGGCTGATGCCTTGAGACTAGACAGAGTTAAAGGAATAAAGCAGGGATTTATTAAAAGGATTCACCTTGGGCAGTACAAGAGCCTGGCCAAGATAATCCTGAGTTTTGGTCCATTCACATATTGGGGTTAATTGTCCAATTATGAACTCCAATTAATTGTCCAATTCCAGCTGCCGGTTGTGCAGTCCCATCCTCCCAGATTGCGCTCCTCATTTTTTTTCACTTTTTGGGGCTGAAGCTGCAGTGGTGTCGTTGGTTCTGGGCCTGGAAAAGGATTATTTTATTTAACTAAACTGTGAGGAGAACTTGCCAACACTTTATATGAGTTTCAGAGTTATATCCTAATGCTGGATAAATGAAAACTAAATAAATAAACTAAAAACTAAATAAAACTGGATAATATGAAAGCTAAAACTGAAAGCATCAGAGCTGTGTTTGTTGTTCCCTGGGTGCTCTGCAGGTGCGGGAATATTAACTGGGTAAAAGAAAATAAATATAAGTAATAATAAATTATAATAATAATATAAATATCTAAGCCCAGTTTAACCCTGTGAGAACTGGCATTAAATCATTGTCTCAGTGTGGTTTGTGACCCTCTGGAGCTGTGTTTGTTCTCCCTGGGTGCTCTGCAGGTTCGAGAGGCAGTACAGGTGCTGCTGCTGGAATATTAACTGGATAAAAGAACACAAATACAAACTGGGTAAAACCCCGGGTTAACCCTGTGAGGAATGGCATGAAAAGGTTATGTCTGTGTGCTTTGTGACCCTCTGGGTGCTCTGCAGGTTCGAGAGGCAGCACAGGCGCTGCTGCTGGCCGAGCTGCGCAGGATCGAGCAGGCGGGGCGCAAGGAAACCATCGACACCTGGGCTCCGTACCTGCCCCAGTACATGGACAGCGTCATCTCCCGTAAGGAGCAGCCCAGCAGCTGCCCCCTCAGCAGGGAAATGGGGGGCAAAGGCCTTTGGCAGCCCCACTTTGCCAAGAATCCATCCAGTCCTCTGACCAGCTCCTGGACAGGCTGCCCCGGGCGTGCCAGGAATTCACACATTTTCCTCGCAATGAGAAATCTCCATCAACTCATCTTCCTCAGAATGAGCTTTTTTACCCTGAAATATTACTCACCAACTGAGTGTAGAGTGTCTAATCATGGTATTAAATCTTCACAGAATGCAGGAATTCTGTGGATGTGTTGTTTTGAGTTTCTCTGAGCTCAGGTAGACTGGAAACCTCACATCCAGATGTCAGGATGTGTTTTGAGTTTCTCTGAGCTCAGGTAGACTGGAAATCTTTCCAGTGGGTCAAAACTAGCAAATTGGGATTAAGTTTTTAATGGTAAGTGTTGAAACTCTTGGAATTAAGGATGCAGAATTGGAGGAGTTGAAGGGAATAAGAATTAATTGGGATGAGACTTGTGAAAAGTCTAATTTTCTGCTGGGAGGGGAATAGGAAAACAAAATACTCCTTTTCTCCTACATCCTCCACATTTTCTGCTAGAAGGAGAGGGAAGAGAATAGGAAAAGGAAATATTCCTTTTGTCCTACATCCTCCACTCCTCCCAATTCTGCCATTTGATATTGGGGCCTGAATTATTGATAATAAATTAATAACAATTCATAAGGGGACAAAAATCAGCCAATTCTTGGGTCTAGCAGATAGATTCAAATCAGTCTCAGATTCTGCACATGAAATTCTCCTTTGGAAGGGATTCCTCTGAGCAACAAATTCCTAAAATTCTCTTAGTTTGGATGAATTGTGGTTTGTTTAAAGTGAAAATCTGCAGTGTGGCAGCACAGAATTGAAGGATTTGATGGTTTTTGTCCAGAATGCTCTGGGCTGGAATGGGCAGGGACATCTCCCAGCAGTCCACGGTTGTTCCAGGCCACTTCCAGCCTGGCCTGGGACACTCCTAGGGATGGGGAATAATCCAATAGTCCTGGAAAGGCAAATAAGTATGACATTTTGCTATTTCTAGATGAGGTTGAGCATCTTGTGCGAGGTTGGAGTTGAAGGAGCCCAAAGCAAGGCAGGACGTGAAGGAATGAGATGAAGTTTAGCTGCTGCAGGAAACAGGGAATTCTTTCCCCAAATCCCTGATTTTGGGGTGTTGGGTTGTTCCCTCCAGCTGGAGTGACCACAGAAGCCCTTCAGGCTGCCACTGCCAGCCCAGATCCCTCAGGAACGGAAGCCAAAGTGCAGGAGGAGGAGCACGACCTGGCTGATGATGACATTGCAGCAGGTGAGCATTCACATCATTAATGTCACCAAGATAATTAATATGTCTCTATTTTAATCCATTTGGAGCTCTTAAATCTGCCCACATCCAGCAACAGTTCTTAAAAAATAAAGATTTTCTGTGATGCTTCATAATTCTTTATAATTGTTCCTTAAATAATTTATTCTGGTTAAGAATGCTGCATCCTGAATTTTGGTTTCACTGGGATACAGTGAGGTTTGTATTGGGAGAATAGAGGGAAAAATAAGAATTTTAAAATAATTTTTGATGGTCCCATTGAGACCAATATTTGTTGATGGTGTGTGATGCTCAGTAGGATCCCAACTTGGGATTCCCCAAAAGTGAGATCATTTCTTAAAAGGATCATTTACACCTCAGAAGTTAGGGAGAGGGAAACATTTTAGCTGAGCTGCTTAAAGATTTCCTTGGAAATCCTTCATACACCAGTGGCTTTTAAACATTTCAGGAGTTATTTAGAAAATTTGATCTGTCCTCGAATGTCCTTTTAATGCCTGAAAGGCTTTTTTGGGTAAGTGAAAATAGAACAAATGCTTTGTTGAAATAATTCACACATGTACAGCAGTGATTTTTCCCAGTTTGGCATAAATTCTCCTGGCTCAGACCCCTTGGGGGTTGGATTTTGGGGTTGATTCTTGGATTTTGGGGTTGATTCCCATGCCCCCATCTTACACCTGCTGCCAAATCCAGAGTTCACCTCTCTTAAAACCTCCTTAACCCAAATCCATCGATTCCTGTGCCAAGTTAAACCTGGAGAATTTACTGGGGCTTTAATCCTTTTATTGTAATCTGGGCTGAAATTAATTTTCCCCACAAGTGTGCAAAGCCAATTAACAGGAGCTGGGCCCCGTTAGCTGAGCTCTCCTTAACTGCAGCCCAACCCTGTGGCAGGATCAATACCCACAGCCTGGGAAACCATGGAAATTTGGGGATGTTCACCCACATTCCCAGCCCTTCCCCACTCTGCTTCAGCAATTCCAGGCCTTTGGTGTGCTTAAAAATGGGAATATTGAGGATTGTTTGTGTCTCGGGTGCCATCGGTTTGTCTTAACCTGGATTGAGGTTTTTCCAGCTCAGATCCCGATGGTTTCTGTCCTTGTGGCACCACAGCTTCTGCTTTCTACACAGACCTATTGCAGGTTATTAATTTTCTCCCTGTGATAGGGTGATCAAGAGTCCTGTCAGGAAAATGGATCTGCGTGTCAGCCCTCACTGTGATTAAAGGGAGACGCGGCACAGGCAGAAAATACCAAATTTTCATGGCCAAATAAATGAAAGGGCTCCTCATCCAGGTGTTATTCCAGCAGAAATTCTGCCTGGCAAAAGCATTCCTGTTAATTGAGGCTTCCCCTAGTAATTAGAAAAAAACCAGCAACAACAAACCAAAATCAAGTATTAAAGAGTTTGTATCCCCTTCTATTTAAGCAGGTTTTCCCCTCATCCAGAGTTTTCTAGAGGGAAGGTTGGGATTTTGATGTATTTGAGAATTTTGGTTGGCCAATTTTTAATTTCTTGGAGTTCTGGCAGGTTTGGGGGATTTTGTTGTTTTTGCTTTTTTTCTTCCCACTGTCACGTTCCACATTGTTAATGGAACACTGTGGGTCTTTCCCACTCTGTCCTGGTTGGAATTTCTTGTAGGATTAACAGGGTGATGTCTTGGCACAGGGGGAGCAGCAGGAAGGAGCTCAGCTGGATGAGGGTGGAGCTTGTGCATTCCCAGTAGGAATTTTTGGGTTTTTTGCTGTTCCAGGATGATACATGAAAATTCTCTTGATATTTGAGGATTCCCCATCCCTGCAAGTGTCCAAAGGCACGTTGGAGCAACCTGGGCTAATGGAAGAGCTAAAGGGGGCAGGATGGGAGGATCCTTGAGATCCCTTCACCCCAAATCGTTCTGTAATCTGAAGGGTGCTCCCTCTGGGGTGCAGCAAAGGGTTAACTCGGGGTGGCTGTAATCGCTGCATGGCAGAAGCTCACAGTGTTCCATTTCCTGCTGGAAGCAGCACGCGTGTTGGGTTTGCCTTTCTTCCCAGGAATCGATCCACATGTACAGCCCTGCTCCAGCATCTGCTCCTGGAGAGCAGGGCAGGGCTGGGATCCACAGGGATCCACAGAGATCCAGAGCCAGGGCTGGGATCCACAGGGATCCACAGGCAGGACTGGGATCCAGAGCCAGGACTGGGATCCCCAGCAGGGCTGTGCCCAGGGTTTGATGCCCTGCCCTGCCATCCCACATCCTGCAGTGCCAAGCTCAGGTGGCTCCTGGGCACTTGACATGGGCTGGGAGGCCACCATGGGGTGACATCCAGTGGACACATGTTCAGGACAAACAGCTGTTGGACAATTCCAGCTGTTCCTTCCTTGCTTTGTTCCAGCCTCTTTTCATCCTTTTTCTTCCAAAGGCAGTTGCTATTGATTTTTTTTTCCTTTTTTCTCCTCCCTTCCCATTGTTAAGCTTTCCCTTGTTTTTCTCTCCCTTTTTGGCTGACCACAGCTCCTAAAATTTGGTTCACTTCCTTATTTTTTAAGAACAAACAATGGGGCATTTCTCAGGATGCTGGAAATTAATCTAGGTAGGAGTGGATTTCATTTGTCAGAATAAGTGACTGCAATTTCATTCTAATAATTTCTTCTAAAATTTGGGGATTTTACTCCAAATAAAAAAAATTCTGTTTAGTGGAATTCAGAATCCCTGGACTATGTTAAACTAAGAACACATATTTCTCTTTCATGTAAAATCCATAATTTGAGTTTTGGGGAATTCATAAATGGGTTTTGTCCTATTAAAATTCCAATAGGTGACATTTTACTATATGAAATATTTGTTTTACTATATGAAAATATCAGTTTGGTTTAATGGTGTGTACTGTTATCCTAAAATTTAATAGGAAGCTGGATGTGCTGATGGATCCTACAGCAAAATGATGCTTTCATATCATAATAAAAAATATCTTTTCAAAACAATAAAATCCACCTCAAGCAAAAGATGTTTTTACCAAGCAAAAAGACTTTCACAGGCAAACAAAAATGCCATGTTGCAAGTAGAAAGCTCTCAAAATTTTCCACTGCAAGAAAACTGAAAAACAACTTTTAGCTTAAACTGGAACACACTAACTTTTAGTGATTGGAGAATAGTACCATGAATATGGTGATGGTAGTAGTTAGGATAGGATATAGGTAAAAGTATTGATTGGTTGTCATATAATATGATATTGTGTAAGAAAAGTATAGACTGCATTATAACCAAAACTAAAGTGATTTCAGGTGAACCTACAGCTGTAACTAAAAACCTGTGGGCTTAGCTCTTACTACCCACAACCCTTAAGTGAACGGATCATTTAAATACAATAACATTTTTAAAAGCCTGCTGTTTTCAACTCTTGCATTTTCTGGTGACTCTTTTTGTCCCTGGGAGTTCTTGGCAGGTGTTGAAGGGATATTTGGCCTTGTCTGGAGGTTTTTAGGAATTATCTCCGTGCCTGAAAACCCCGGTGGTCACAAAGACACAGCTGACGTTTTTTCCGTTGGAATTTTCTGGGGCAGACGACTCATTTTCTGCCTTTGCAGTATTCCAACCCGCTCGTGTGTTGGCTTTCCCGTGTCCAGGCTGCCTGCCCGGGCTCCCCCAGCCCAAGAAGATGTGCACGTCGTACGAGGAGAGGCGCAAGCAGGCCACGGCCATCGTGCTGCTGGGCGTCATCGGCGCCGAGTTCGGGGCCGAGATCGAGCCGCCCAAGCTGCTGAGCCGGCCCCGCAGCTCCAGCCAGGTCCCCGAGGGCTTCGGCCTCACCAGTGCGGGCTCCAACTACTCCCTGGCCAGGCACACCTGTGAGTACCCCAGCCTCTTCTGCCTTGGCACTGACCCCAGTTCTCATGGAAAAGAGCACGATGAGGGATTGGGATGTGCGGTGTAATGGCTTAGCTGCACTGCTTAATTCGTGGGTTGGGTATATTTGCTTTTGCTTGCAGTTAGAATTTAAACCGCAAAGTTTTCATTTGGACCTGGTTGTTTAGTAAACCTTATCTCAAGTACAGAGAGTTCTGCAACACTTCCAGCTACCAGCTAAAAGTGAGTAACATGGAGGTGAATTTAGCTAGGTACAAGGTCTTTTAAAGCTAAACAGTCCAATAGGGAATTAACACTTGTATTATTTATACTTTTGACTTAATAACCAAACACCTGTGACCTGCAGTGCAGCACTAACTATCCAACCAAAAATTACTACCTGAAATTAGGGAGAAGAAGGAAGAAGACAGAAAAAGACAACACCTAAGAACCTCTATTGTATCCCACACTTACTACTATGTTACAAAAACCTCAGATTCCAAACCCTTCACCATGTGAAATCACACACTTCTATTTAACTACACACCAGTGATTTTAACTCCATCACTCAAATTTGAGAGCTTTCTCCAAGGCCTCAGGTCCAAAGCAGTGTTCTCCAGTGTTCTCTTTCAGTGCCAGGAAGCACAGAATGTTTTTCAAAACTCCCGGGCTTCAGCTTTCCAGCAGTGCAGGAAGAGATTGCCAAAGCTTTGGTGCTGAGCTGCTGGAATTGTGACACACTTCATTCTCCTCCTAAGTGAAGCAGAGCATTTGTTTGATCTGTTTTTGGTTATTTGTCACCTTTCACTGTCCCAGGCACTCCAAGCCCAGCCCAACCTGGCCTTGGACACTTCCAGGGATGGGGAATCCAGAGGTTCTCTGGGCAAGCCATAAATCCATCAAATGCAGGGTATTTCTGTGTGACAGGGAACTGGGATTGTGTGCCTTTTGGAGAATTCTACAATTCTGGAATGCCTGGCACCTGTATCAGTCCCCTCACTACTCGTTCCCAGAGCTATTCCCTGATAAAATGGCACCCCAGGAATTGCTGGCTGCCCCAGTGTCCCCAAAAGTGCAGCTGATGCTGTGTTTGCAGAGTTAATGGGCTGAGAAATCAGGCTGCTGTGGCCAGGCTGTGGAAATGCAGCATTCCATGGATAATTCAGGGGCTTTTCCATCCATGCAGTTATTCATGAGCAGCTCTTTGCCCTTTAGCTCTGCCTAAAGGTGACACCTGAGTTATTGAGATCTCCTGGACACTGACTTGGGCCTCTTTCCAAAGGGAATGGCAGGAATTCCATGCTGCCAGTTTTGCTGGATTGTCCAACCTGGCCTGGAGCAATTCCAGATGGGAAGTGATTTTAACTGGGCGGGGGGGGGAAGTGATTTTTAATTTAGGCCTGAACATATCTTGGTTTGATACCTGAGAGAAGATTTGGAATAAAAATAAAAGACTAAAAATGCACTGGGCCAGGAGCAGAAAGAGATAAAGGGGTATGGAATTTTAACCCAGCTCTTCAAATTTCTGTCTCTCTGTGGACAATCAGGGAAAAAGTCATCCAGAAAGGGTCACAATCAAGTTAAATCCTATTCTTGGAGTCCATCATTTGGATTTAGTTGGATCTTGATCAGAGTTTGCAGTGTCTCATTCCTGCCTGAGCTATTGATTTTCCCAAGCAAATAATTTCATTTTTTAAAATCCATTGGCAAACTGGGGATAACAAGGCAGCCTGGAGCCGTGTGCTCAGAGAAATTCTGCAAGGAAAGGCAGTTTGGGAATGCAGGGGGCTTCTGTGCAGTGAAAAGAAATGATAAATCTCAGCATTTGGGCACATCTGGGCTAATAAAATGATACAAGGAGCAAATGTGCCAGTGCAGAATGGGAGAAAATTATATTTGAATCCCACTTGATGTAGGAATGGCATTCCCTGAGCTCTGTGAGTGCCTGAGGAATTGTCTCCAGTGAGCCACACGTGCATTTTTGTCTCAGGAATATTAATGGGAAGCAGCAAAGGCAGGTCCAGGATCATCCCAGGATATTCCAGCCCTGCTGTGCTGAGCTGTTCCAGGGCTAATTAGCTCATTGCTGTGCTGACTCTAATGTGACATGTTTATTGCCCTAACGAACAACTCATTAGCACTGGGATGTTTTTGTCAATATTCATTCCTTCTTTAAGCCCAGGCAAGGCTTTGAACGAAGATGGCCCAGCCAGGGACCCACTGGCACCAGGACTTTGGGTCAGTGCTGCTGCTGCTGCTGGCAGCATGCTGAGGGGAAAGAAAAGTGGGAATATTTTATTGGAGTAATGCTTGAGAGGCACTTTTTAATAAACTTTTGGTTTTGAGGTATAAAAACCTCGTGGTGTGACCAGAAGGAATTTTGGGATGGAGATTGGTTGGTGTGAATCAACTGGGAAAACTCTGTTGGCTTTTCCCAATCCTAAAAACAACAGGAGGTTTGTTGAATAAACAAAACAAGCAACATGTTAAGGGCAGTTCAGGAAAAAGCTGATAAAATCAGTAATTATCTTTACCACAAGAAACATCATTGAGGGGTAATAAATAATGATGGGGAGATAATGATAAATTATCTCTCTCCAAGCCTTGCTTGCTTTAGCCCTCCTCCATTTATGTGTACGTAATTCCTTTAATTGAAAAGTTTTTAAATATTTATTTATATTTGTATTTATTATTTTATTTATAAATTATTTATTTAAATATCAGTATTTAAATGAAATATTAAGAACTGTTTCCAAAATGTGCAGGGCCAGGATTGGCGAAGTTGTTTGGGATGTTTCTCTCCCCTTCCCTCTTAACTCTGTTGCTCAGAAATACTTAAGCACATCCACTTCTCCTATTTTATCCCCCCAAATCTATTTATTGTTGTTTATTCTGTAGAGAAGATTTTGTGTTTGACAGCAGCCGTGGCACAGAGGGTGCCAAGGGCAGGTTGGAGATTAGAGCAGTGACTGCTGGAGGAGATGTCCCTGCACGTGGCAGGGGGTGGCACTGGGTGACTTTGGGGTCCTTCCCAGCCCTGCTGTAGGTTCAGCTCTAGGCTCAGCCCTAGGCCCAGCTCCAGCCCCATCTCTCTCCCCAGTTAAGGCCCTGACATTCCTGCTGCTCTAGGCTCAGTTCAGCTCCAGGCTCAGCCCTAGGCTCAGCTCCAGGCCCATCTCTGTCCCCAGATAAAGCTGATGTTCCTGCTGCCCTAGGTTCAGCTCAGCCCTAGGCTCAGCTCCAGGCCCATCTCTCCCCAGGTAAGGCCCTGACGTTCCTGCTGCTGCAGCCGCCCAGCCCGCGGCTCCCGGCGCACAGCACCATCCGCAGGACCGCCATCGACCTCATCGGCCGCGGCTTCACCGTGTGGGAGCCCTACATGGACGTGTCTGCCGTGCTCATGGGGCTGCTGGAGCTCTGCGCCGACGCCGAGAAGCAGCTAGCCAAGTGGGTACCCCAGCTAGCCCAGCCCAGCCCAGCCCTGGGCAAGCTGGATCAAATCCTGTGGCCCTGCAGCATGGCAGGGCGAGGAGCGGCCTGAAGGTGGAGGGCAGGGTTAACTGGGGATTGCCAAGGGGTTCTTGGCTCTGAATTCCCATAAAAGCTCCCCTGCATCTCTGCAAGTGTCCAAGGTCAGGTTGGACAGAGCTTGGACCAACCTGGGCTAGTGGAAGGTGTCCCCAAACCATTCCATGAAATATTTGTTAACAAACGCAGAATTGAAGTGGCACCTGCAATAAGGAGGTGCCCAGGCCTGGTTTAATCCCAGGAATGTGTTTCCACCCTGTGTTAAGGGTTCTGATGTTATTCTAAGGTATATCACCCATTTTATGTAAGTTTTCATTTCCTCAACATACAAAGAATGAATCCTTGCCATGTGTTGGAAGGAGAAGTATAGACAAATTGGATTAGCATTGTTTTTTGTCTGAATTCCAGTTATTCCTTGTCGTGTGACAGGAGGCAGCAGCACCTTTTCCCTTCTAAGCCCTGTTTTATGTAAAGCCCAACTTGCAGCATCCAAGTGAGCCCAGTTCTGCAGCTAGTCCTTGGTGCTGGTGTGATTCCACCCTTAGCTGTCAGGAAGATTAGTCTGGCTCTCCCTGCCAAGAGCAGGCAATAAATGAAGGGATCAGCGTGGAGCCTTGAGGAGCCCGGCGCAATTTTCCTCATGATAAATTGTATAATGAGCGCAAAAGCGTTCACTTATTAATCCATAACGAGATTTAGATTGAAAATGGCCTGCTACATTGCTGCCACATCCAGCATGGAGGGAGATGGAGAGAAATGGAGCAGCAGCGTGTGCAGGGGTTAAGTGTGGCTGTCACCCCCCGGAGCCCCGCTGAGCTCCCGCTTTGTGCCGTGTTTGCCGCGTGCACAATAACGGCACACAGCTGCCGGCGCCTCTCCCGAGCTTTTATTAAAGAGCTTTTATGTCAAGCTTCTGCTTTGAGATAGGAAAGAAGAAATCACATTTATTGACCAGGAAAACGAGGGGGTTTCTTTTTTCCCTGCTGAATCAAGGGAATAGCAGAGCTGTTAGGCAAAACTCAGGTGCTTGGAACTCCTCTGCTTGTCCAGCTCCTCCTGGCTCCTGAAGGTTGCACTGTACCAAGGGCAGCTGCTCATTTCTGAGGATAAAATGTGGTTGCCCAGCTTTTTTAGGCTGTGATGGCTTGGCTTGGATGATGATAGGAATCATTTTTGGCTGTACTGTTGCTTTTTGAATTAAGCTACGTTTCATACAGATTTTCATGGACTGGTTGGAGGGTATTTTAAGGATCATCCCAGTCCATGCGCAGTAACACCTTCCACTACTCCAGGCTGCTCTGAGTCCCATCCAGCCTGGCCTGGAACAATTCCAGGGATGGGGCAGCCACAACTTCTCTGGGCACTGTGATGATGTGAAACACCCAAATTAGCAAATCACCTTCCAATCAATCCATTAATCTGTGCATTGGAGCAGTCTGACTTCGTGGAAGGTAGAACAGGAAGGTCTGGATGCTTTTGTCTTTTTTGTCCAGCTCTCCCCACATCCTCCCAAGCAAAGGAACTCACTAAAAAGCAAATTCCTGTTGCTTTCCAGGCAAATGCACACTTTGCCAAACACCCTGTAAGGAAAAACACTGCTGGAGCCTTTGAAAACTTGGGGTTTGCTTGCTTTGGGGTCCCTTTCCAAAAGTGAACTGGGATAACTCCTTCCCTGGCTTGTCTCTTTTTCATGGAACAGGAGTTCTGAAGTTACATTTAGATGTGGTTTCCCAAGGAAAGGCCTATGGGGACATCACCTTATTTAATTTCACATTTGGGAGTTTTAATTTGTACAGTGATGGTGAGGAATGGGAAAGGGAAATAAACTGGTTGGGATTATAAACTCCTGCTATTCTCTTCCCCAAAAAAAATCAGTCAAAAAGCACAGGGAAGAAGGAGGAACCCCTTCCACAGGTTATCCAGAAAAATATGTGGCTGCCCCATCCCTGGAAGGGTTCAAGGCCAGCTTGGACAGGGCTTAGAGCATCAAGAGAGAGAGGAAGGTGTGGAATAGATGATCCTCAAAACTCCTTCCAACCCAAACCAGCCTGCCATTCCACTTTTCTACATTTTGGAGAATTTTTGGATAATGTGCAGGGCATGTAGAAATTTTATTTTTGCAGTTACTGGGTACTTAGGACCTTATTGCTTTTTGCTTTTATCTAGTCACAGCAAGTAAAAGCCTTGAAGTAAAGAGAATTACTCTGGCCAGGAGATTCTTCAGGCTGTGTTTAAAATCCTGTAAAAGACCAAACCAGAAATCCTTGGCAAGACGCTCTGGGCTCCGTGGGGTGATATGTATTCAGCACATACAGATAATTTGTTAACAAGGCCTTTTGGCCACTTTGGACAGATGCACTTACTGTTTTCAATCTTCATGGTTAATTATTCGATTTGGGGTTGATGCTGGAACACCCTGACTCCTAATCACTGCTCTTTGTTGGGAGTCCATTATATTGGAACTGCCGGAGTGCTCCCGCTGACCTTGAGCTGACATTATAAGCTGGTTCTAATCTTTTCACTCTATATTTCTTTCCTTTGTGCCTGCCTTTGTGCTGCTGCCGTTTAGCATCACAATGGGGCTGCCCCTGAGCCCTGCAGCCGACTCGGCTCGCTCGGCTCGCCACGCGCTGTCCCTGATCGCCACGGCCCGCCCGCCCGCCTTCATCACCACCATCGCCAAGGAGGTGAGCAGGGGGGGCTGGGGGGTCAGGGAGACCTTTCTGGGGGTTTGGAAGTCTTGGAGGGTGGGCAGTGGTGTGCACCAAGCACGGATCCTCTGAGGCACCCCAGCCTCAGCTGAGCCGAAGGGTTGAACTTAGCTTAGTGACCATGGAGCTGCTGCATTCTGGCTGATCGTGGAGCGTTGCCTGGTGCTCACCCCGTGTCCCTGGTGCCCACAGGTGCACAGGCACACAGCCCTGGCAGCCAACACCCAGTCCCAGCAGAACATCCACACCAGCACGCTGGCCCGTGCCAAGGGCGAGATCCTGCGCGTCATCGAGATCCTCATTGACAAGATGCCCACGGACGTCGTGGACCTGCTGGTGGAGGTGAGGCCCCCTCTGTCCTGGGCTCCACCCAAGGACTTCCTTTCCATGTTGTCATGACAATGAAGCCACAAACACCAGGGGTTCATGTCCAAAATGGAGCCAGAGGAGTCCTTTTGCTTTATCGAACAAAGGGAGAGGCCACGGGCCATTCCCCTGGGGTCTCTCCAATTTTTGGAGGACACAGCCTCCTTTTTATCCTAATTTCCCCATGGGCTGAGGTACTTGAGAGGCACAGACTTCCCAGAACACCTGATACCTGAGATTACCCTCTAATGTATAACCCTCCTTTTAATTTTTAATTCTTATGGTTTTTCTCCCATTGTTTCTTTCATCTTTCAATATCCAATTCCATTTCTCAGCAAACCTGCAGTTTCTTTGTAAAGGTAAATATCTTTTTTCCCATTCATCAATCAGTGGAATCCATTCCATTGTTTCTTTTATCTCTTAAGTGCTGGTTTTACCTACCAGCAGAGCCACTGCTGGTTTGTAAAGACAAATCCAACATTCTTCTCACATGTGGACTTCAGGTGTGGAGAGGATTTGTACCAAGTTCATTTCTTCAGTTTTAAATTGCATGTTGTTGGGGAAAATATCCTCAGCAAAACTGGGCTGGACACAGCTTGGAACAACCTGGTCTACTGCAAAGTGTCCCAGGAATGGGATGACCTTCAGAACTTGAATTATAGAACATAAAGCACAGATTGATGGTAATTTTTGTTTCCAAGGTGATGGATATCATCATGTACTGCCTGGAAGGATCTTTGGTTAAGAAAAAGGGTCTTCAGGAATGTTTTCCAGCCATCTGCAGGTGAGCTCTTCCTCTGGGAATACTGGGAAGGAAATGATAGGATCACCAGCAGGATAGATTTCCTAATGAAGAGTGAAACAGTCTTTTAGGTGACACAACAAAGAGTAAAAGGTGATTTATAAAATGGGAACATTTCTAGTATCTTTAAACATGGATAAATATCCCAGTCATCCTCTTAAACTGGTCCAACCAATAAATTCTAATAATCACCTGTCAGCCATTACATTTTAATTTAATAACCTATTAAAATATTGCATAGTTTCAAGGAAAGAACAATTATTCTGTTGCCAGGTTGGATACTGATGGAGATGATCTTCCTCCTTCCTGATGCTTTAAGTGGCTTTCCTTAAAACATAAAGGGAAGGATAAATGGGAATTAGTGCCCAGTCTCCCTATTCCTGTATATCTTTATGGCAATCCAGTATTTTAAAATTCTCTGCAATTACTGCTAATATTTCCTGGTTATAGCCAGTGTAAAAATGATCCAGCAGCCAGCAATGGCAGCGTGGAGCCCAAAGGAAATTGCCATAGCTTGTAGCAAATGGGGAGATCTCTGGAGACATTCCAAGTGGAAGCACTTGTACACATCCCACTGTTAATCCCTTTAACATCCCACTGTTCCTTCTGCTGAGCTGTAACTTGTGTGGCAAAACCCTTGGATCAAAGGAATGGCAACAGCAGGATGAAGGGAAGGACAGCCAGCACCTCAGGGAGGGACACAGCAGGATGCAAAGCTGCATCTGAGCTGCGTTTCCCTTTTTCCCTGCACAAAAACCGGGGATTTTCTTCCTTCTCTTGTATTCCTCATTGTCTTTCCCCATGTTTCATCCTGCTTTTCTTGCCAGCTGCCATCCTGCAGTGCAGGACGTGTCTCGTACCTGCCTGGGAGCAGTTGCTATGGCACTGGGATTCCCCAGGAACCAGGAGAGGAGTCTGAAAGATGGGTTCTTTGAAACCCTAAATATGCTCAGCAATATTTTTTGAGACTGATTCTAGAGATTCCTGGCAGATTTTGGTAGAGGAAAATTTAACTTGGCAAAATTCCAGTGTAATTCAGCACTTGCACAGGTCTGCTGTCCCTGTGATATCCCCAAGGATTTGAATTTGCAATAAGGATTTGAATTTGCAATAGGGATTTTGTGTCTCCTGGGTTTCAAGGTGTTGAAATTCCTTGAATTTTGCAGCTCTTGGAATTCCAATAAATGCCACATGGCCACACGGGGTGCTAAGGACTACTATTGCAGGCTTTACCCCAGGGGTGTTATTGGAGCAGAGAGTGTCTGATGGTGAATTTCCCTCTTCCTTTTTCTTTATCAAAACTTGATGAGTTTGCTTATTTCTCCTCCCACTTCCCTTCCTTTCATGGGAAATGCCCTGAAGTCACTCAGGGTGTTGGATGGTCACTTAACCATTTGAATTCCAGCTTCACTGAGGTGTTCCAGCACAAAGAAAGTGCTTGGGACTTGGTGGTTATCCCATATTCCCAAATAAATAAATAAATCAGTAAATCTGATAGATCAGTCTGATCAGATTCCATCCAGGCATTTGGTGGTTATCCCACATTCCATGATGGGTCTGATAGATCAGTCTGATCAGATTCCATCCAGGCATTTGGTGGTTATCCCACATTCCATGATGGGTCTGATAGATCAGTCTGATCAGATTCCATGGCACCACATCAACCATCAGTCGTTTTCGTGGAACACCGAGTGTTCAACTGGCAGCGAGCAGAATTTTGAATCAAACCTCAGTTCCAGCCCTTAATTAATGATGTTAATTAATGATCTGGAATGCCAGCCTCACCTTTCCCCTGCTCCCCTCAGGTTCTACATGGTGAGTTACTACGAGCGCAGTCACCGCATCGCTGTGGGCGCACGCCAGGGCTCCGTGGCCCTGTACGACATCCGCACGGGCAAGTGCCAGGTGAGGGGTTCTGGGGATAAATCCTGCCCACAAAAGTGCCAGGTGAGGGATCCTTACAGCTCTGGATTCCTTAAGTCTCTAGCTAAACTTTATTACAATTTTGGAAAGAAACAGCTGGAATATTTGCAGTTGAATCCATGCAGTGCTTTCCACAGCTGGAAAAAATAATCTGGAAAAGATTATTAGAACTCCTTAAATGCAGGGAATTCCTGACTGGATAGATTTTAGGGCTCTGTGTGAGGATTTCCTGGTGGAGCAGCCCCAGGACATGGTGACCTGGCCAGGATTCAAGTGTCCCACAAAATTCCCCTATGATTTGATCCTATTTTATCTCATCCCACTTTTATCTGGATCCCAGCCTGTAAATCCCAAATGCTGGCTGATTTTTGCCTCCCTTTACGCTGTTGAGAATCCAGGGGAATTTTCATGGCTCTGTGCCTCATCCCCATGGGACGGCTCCAGCATTTGGAGCACTCTTGTGTGCACAGGTGAGACAAAGGTGAAACTTCCCAAAAAAGCAGGAGGAGCTTCCCTGAGCAGCACAACCAGTGTGATGATGAGTATTGATTCCTTCCTGCAGCTCTCCCTGGCTCCCTGCTCACAGGAGGCTCCATCTTGATCAGATGAGATCCTGGATTTGATAAAGAGAATTGATGCTTCCCAGGGAATTGGAAAACACTTCCAGAGCAGCAGCTCCACCTGGAAATGTGCCCTTTGTTTTCCCAGCTTTCAGCCCCTCTGAGCCAAACACACAGGATTAAACACAAATGGCAATTCTTATCCCCAAATAAACCACTTGGATTAATAATTACAGCTGCAATTAACTTCTAACAATATTAAAAGGATTAGGCAACAGGATTAAGGTATCGTTGAGCACAAGGTCTGTTTGCTCAATTCAACGTTGAAATGATATTAAATTCCAAGCAAATTATTAATGTTTTATGTAAGATTCACAATTATTAGCACACAGTTACAAATCCTGCACTTCAAGGTGCAGTAACATAGGAAAATACTGATGCTATAAAATGGCATTTTATATCAAATGAAACACTAAAGTCAGACTGGAGAGAGAGAGAGATTGCAGGTAACTGACTTTTAGGACACCTGATAGTTGATTTTGGGATGGTGGGAAAATATTAATATTTTCCCAGGTAAATCCTTGCTGAGTACCAGAGTCTGGCCCAAAATCCCCCAATTAATTCCTCAGTACAGGTCATTTAATTATCTTCTTTTCCTTTAGGAACATATTTGGCTCTGTAAGGAGAGAATCTGAAATATTCCATTTTTATTGATTAAATCTTGGGATTCATCATAAATATTTAGAGCTGCATTTCAGAAATACATGTAATCTTTGTACCTAAAACCTGGGTCATTTGCACTGGAAGATTAAAGAGAAACGTAAGTTATTTTGGGTTTATTTCAAAGCAAAAACCACTTTTAAGCCTGGGCTGGAATCAATAATGTTTGGTCCTGGGTCCTTCCAGAATTAAAATCCCAGCAATCTGAGCATTAATTGGATTGTGCTGGGCTGATTTCATTTCAGTGCTGGATGCCATGGCAAAGTTTGATTTATGTGGAAGGCAGGGAAGGATTTAATATTCCATTTGGAATGAATCGTGGCTTGGCTTAATTAATTACAGAATAAAAGATGCTGTTCTTTCAAGCAGTGCTTTAAAGGTGTTCATCCTGCATCTACACCTGTATTTCCAGGAAAACCTGGGAAGCACATCCCTAAATTCCAGAGAAGGAGCTCATTACTGACTAGAACCTTAATTGGATAGACCTTTTCTAAACATGCCTAATAACAGATGAAGGGATTTTCCTGAATTTATTTAATAAATTAAACTATTAAAGGTGCTGCAAAGGTGGGTGTTAATAGAGATTTTCAAAAGTAGCAGAGCTTGGTAAGAACATTTTTACTTTCTCTTATCTCTCATTTACTTTCCATCCATTGTGACATTTCCAAACTGATATCACACATTTCCCCAAATTTCCATTCTGTGTCCCTTCAGCTGCACGGGGGAATATTGGAATATTTGGAATGAAATTGCTCTGGCTTTTCATGGAAAACAGGAGCTAACAGCACAGAAATCCTGGCTGCAAAGGATTAGCATCAATTAGAGCAGCACTGCCTTTAAATAACAAAGCAGCTGCATTCCCTAAAGGATTTGTGCTTATTCCAGGAGTAAAAAGAGCAACAAGTGTGCTGCCCCTATTGATTTTACTTTTGTCTCACCAAAAGATATTTAATTGACAAGTATTCCATGCTTGTTGAGTGGGATGGGGCTAAATGGGGGATCAGCTAATGAGCAGTGGGGAATCCCATTAAAGAGGGAGATTTGGGGTGCACTCGCCTTTTCCACGAGGAATAAATGAATATATTAATGAGTTCTTAATATATCAGGCTCATTTGCATACTCTGAGCTTTTAATAACCAGGGATGGGCACGGAAACACTGCTAATGCTGATCCAGTAGGGAATGGGATTTTCCAGCATCCTGGATTTAATACAGCCCTGTGCTTTTTGATCATTTTGGGGGTAGTGCCGTGGGAGAGGAGCACATTCCTGTGGGGTGCTGTTGTTTTTTGGGCTTCCAGGTCACACATCTCTGCATTTCTGTTCCCAGACTATCCATGGCCACAAAGGACCCATCACTGCCGTGGCTTTTGCCCCTGATGGTCGGTACCTGGCCACCTACTCCAACTCTGACAGCCACCTGTGCTTCTGGCAGGTAAGGATTCCACACTGCCAGCCCTCTCTGTGTGCCCAAACTCGGGACTGGGATTTTATCCCTTTGCTCCAGGCATTACATTGCCTCAGCAGGGAAAAAATCCCAAGGGAGAGGAGGGGTTTTAATCCAGCTGGGCTTGGAGCAGCCTGGACTAGTGGAAGGTGGAATGAGATGATCCTTAAGGTCCCTTCAGGCCAAGCATGAAGGGTTAAATATCCTTTAGTGTAATTCTCAGATGTGACCTCAAGTGTGCTCTGGTGATTTTTCCCTTCCGTGTCGTGTTTGGCACGATTATTAATGCAGGAAAATCAGGAGCATTAGTCATCCTAAAAGGGTGATTACTCAAGATGATTTAAATTGTGGAAATGTCAGCAGGGCTGGCTCGGGATGCTGTGATTTACACCCCTGACACCCAGGAGAGCTCAGAATTCAGGACATGGCCACAGCAGCAACACAGCCTGGGCTTCGCCAAGGATTCGTAGAGACAGGAGTCCTGGGGTGGCCTTGCCTGGGGGGTGGAGAGTGATGTCCCCATGGGCAATCTCACTTTTCCCAAGAGTGGGACCCAGCAGATCCCTGGAAGTGTCCAAAGGGTTAAACAGGGCTTGGAGAAGCCAATGGGAAGTCGGGATGGATGAGCTCCAGTGTGCCTTCCCACCCAAACCATTCCCTGATCCTCCAGGGTGGCTCTTGCTTGGCTACATTTGGGAGTTTCTGAGCCATGCTTCTGGTGGGATGTGGGAGTTCAGGAGGAGCTCTGGGATATGGGAATTGGGGAGGAGCTCTGTACCTCTGGGATGTGGGAATTCAGGAGGAGTTCAAGACTCTGCAATGTGGGAGTGTGTTGTGAGCCCCTCCAAGAGCGCAGGCTGAGCAGTGTGCCCCGCAGATGAACACGTCCCTGCTGGGCAGCATTGGCATGCTGAACTCGGCGCCGCAGCTGCGCTGTGTGAAGACGTTCCAGGTGCCCCCGGTGCCGCCGGCGTCGCCCGGCTCGCACGGCGCGCTGCGCCTGGCACGGCTCATCTGGACCTCCAACCGCAACATCATCCTCATGGCCCACGACGGCAGGGAGCACCGCTTCATGGTCTAGGTGGGCATGCTGGGGGCATCCTGGGGCATCCCCTGGGGGCAGTGCCGTGGGCTCCTCCTGGATCTGAGGGGCTCATTGGGATCTCAGGGAATCCTGCCAGGATCTCAGGGCTCCATGCCATCCTTGCTGGCTCACTGGTAGCACTCACAGCTTTTCCTTGCACCCAGGATGAAGAAGGCCCAGGGGCAGCTCCGTGCATGGCCTGGCAGAGCGGGAGCAGGAGCAGGAGCAGGATCATCCCTTCCCAAGCCCATCCCAACCCTATCCTCACCCCATCCCATCTGCAGCAGGAGCCTGCCTGAGCCCAGCCCCTCGCACCCCTGTCCCTGCAGAGCCTCCCAGAATGTCAGTGTTTACCAAAACCACTGTTTGTTTACATGGACCATGGAATGCTGCTGGTGCTGTCCCCGGAGCCAGGTACCTGCCTGGGAGTGGGGGGCTGGAATTCTGGGGGTGTGCTGATCCCAAGGGGGTGAAATCCCCATTTCTGAGGGGATTGGAAGTGCTGCTGTGCCCAGGCTGGAAGGAAAAATGCTAGTCCACGTGTAAATAAGTAATTTAAAAATCCTGTTAATGGCAGGCTTGGAGAAAAGCAGTATTTATATAGAAAGGTGGTTTTTGCCACCAGTGCAGGTATTTATTTAAATAAAGGACAAAGGGGGCCATTTTGAATGGAAAAAGGATCAAAATTATGGAAAAAATGAATTATTGACTGGATGTACTGAAATATTTCCTTCAGTAGGAATATTCCTGTGTGACACTCGCTGTTACTGTGTTTCCTTCTTACATATCTGATTTTGTGGAATATTTTGTGTGCAATTTGCTGGTTTCTGCTCATGGGAAAGAGAAAAAAGTCTTTCAAATCCTCTTTTATTTCAATATCTCTGTTTGTGCAGCTTTTCCTTGGCTGCAGAGCTCCGACCTGAGGCTGGTACTACCTGCTAAGCTAAAACTGGTACCTGGAAAAATTAAGGAATTAATTTTTCACATGGCTCCGAAAGAGAAAGGAATGTATTTTATTCTGATCTGATGATGTGTGTATTTTATTCTGATCTGGTGATGTGTGTAGTGCCCAGGTGAGATTTGCAGCCCAGGAGCTCCATATGTGTGTGCTGGTACAGTTCAGCTCCAAAGCAGGAAGCTCAGAGCATTGGGAATGTTGAACACAAGCTCTGGGGAGTTGTTGTGTCCCAGCTCCTGATCCTGCTGTGAGCTTTCCGTGTGTGTCCTTGGTGTCCTGGCTTCCATGGCAGCTTCCAGTGTCACCCTGGGACACCTGGAGTCACCATGTGCTGCCTCCAGTGGCTGCTTCTCCACAAATCCACTCCCTGCCCTCTCTGGATGAAAATTCCTGGTGTAAATATGCTTGTGGAATAAAACTGGACTGAAGTGTGTTGGTTTTCATGGGTGTCAGTGATTTCCTGCTGATGATTCTCTGCCCAGCCATCAAGAACCTGTCACTCTTTAACAAATTTCTCCCCTTTCCTTTGGAATGAGAGCAGAATCCTGGAATGGTTTGAGTTGGAAGGACATTAAGGATCATCTTGTTCCCTGCCTTGTCCCCAGTGCCTCCCCAGCTCTCCTGGAGCCCCTTTGGGCACTGGCAGGGGCTCTGAGGTGTCCATGGATCCCTCCCTTCTCCAGGTGAACATTCCCAGTTTTGCCAGCCTGGCTCCAGAGCAGAGGTGAATTCCCCCAAAGGAATTAAGTACAGTATTTAAATTGACTGGGCTGGAATCTGGGATAAATTGATTTTAGGGAATGGCAGCCATGGGCCTGCAGAGGAAGCCCCTGTGCCATGGGATGCTCTGGAGCAGGTCAGGAATTACCTGATCAGTCCCCAGACACACATCCCACAGGAATTGTGAGACTTTTTCAGGGTGTGTAGGTGTGCTCAGCCTCTGTTCCCTGGAGGTTGGGTGGGCAATGCCAGGGGGGATCCAGGGCAGAGCTGAGCCTTGGCAAATCCATAGCTGGGAGCCAGGAGGGAAACACTTCCAGGCTCTGAGTGTTGTGACAAGGCTGGGATGGCACAGGAGAGGGAGGGAAGCAGAGTCATTCTGAACACCTGACACCTCAGGGTGGGGCTGGGCAGAGGAACTAAGCCCCAAAGGTCCTGGAGCAGAGCAGAGAATTCCCAGCCTGGGATGTGCTGCTGCTGTCCCACAGCACCAGGGGTGGGGCAGGCACACAGGGAAGCCCAGGGCTGGCTGCCACCTCCTTGAAAGGTATGAGAGCCCAGGGTGGCCCTGGAGCCATCCCCTCTGCTCTCTGGGGGTGTTTCCATGCACAGCCATTGTTTGGTTCCACTGCTGCAGCCTCAGCTCAAGATAATGAAATTCCTTCCACCTGGGAGCTCACCGTGCTCTCAGGGAGCTCAGGAGGCAGGAAAAGAGGCTTTGCTTCTGTCCAGGCTGTTCCCAGCTTTTACAAAACTTCACCAGCGTTAATACTTTTGTCTGAACAACAAAAAAAAAACAAATCAGGAAAAATCTGGATGGGAGCCTCCGGTGTGATAAATTGACACTCGATCCACTGCTGCCTGGAGCGTGCTTTGAAGCAGGAGAGGCTCCTGGGGAACTTCCCTCTCTCTCTGATGTCTGAAAATTAAAAATTAATCTGCTATGAAAAATTAAAAGGTGAAACTTTCTGCTCTTTCAGCAGCAGAGCTTTTGGAATGCTGATGTGGGGCTTGGAATGGAGGCTGAGTGACATCTTCGGGAACATCACCGTGGGCTGGTGCATTCTAATATCAGATTTTAATTGATTTTTGTAAATTGGAAACCTGTTTGCAAAGGACTCGAGATGCTTAAAAAGGGGTAAATATTTATTTATTGATGTAAATAACCTTAAACAGGCATTTACTCACTCCTGCAGAGCTACTCACAGTTTACAACGCAGCGAAAGGAAAGCGATGGATGCTTCCAGCTTGGAATGAGGCTGGAATGTGCACACCTTGCAAGGTTTAATTTGGTTTTTTTTATAAACTGGTGGGTTCAGGCAGAAAATGGGTAAAAATGCAGTTTATTCCAGGAAGAAACAGCAAAGGTGCTGCTGGTGCCTGGTGGGAGGAGGATCCCAGGGTGCCAGGGGGGTTTCCTTGCCCCTCCTGGGCTGTTTTCCACAGGGAGATTGAGGGGAATTCCTATGGGGGAGTGGCAAACACCCCAAACCTTTCCTGAGAGCAGCAGGAATATGGGGTCTGTCTGCCCCAGCTCTTCCATCCCAACAGTTCTGTCACTGCTCCATGGATGCTCCCACTGCCCAGGTGGGAGCACAGCCTGATGGATTTGTACTGAACAGGAAAAAGGGGAACAAATACCTCAGAAATCCGAGTTCAGGCATTGATCCCAGAGCTGTTCCCCAGATGGGTTTTGTTTTCCAGGAAACACTTCCCTGTTTTCCTGAGGAGAACAGAATGTGTATTCCATAGGTGGGGATGGCTGCTGAGCTGGAAGCAGTGGCAGCAAACCAGAGCACAGCCCCAGTGCAATCTGGGCAGGGCATTTCAGGGATTCAGCCGAGCTGAAAGCAGCCCTGTCCCACCCCGGCATCCACGGGGAGCCCTGGGGATGCAGAGATCAGTTCCCATCAAGTGCACTGGCGTGGAAAATGGGGAAGGGTTGGGGTCAGGCACACACAGTCCCGGGGGAAGGTTTGCCAGGGGAAATGGGAAGAGCTGCAGCCACTGCTGCTGTGATTGCTCCTTTCAGTGGCAATTTTCTGCACTTCTGTTTTCCAGAGCCATCCACCTGCTCCTGGGGCACTGGCTGGGGGGGGGATCAGAATCCTGGAGTGGTTTGGGCTGGAAGGGACCTTAAAGCCATGGGCAGGGACACAGCACGGGACAGCAGCTCCCTAATGGAATTCTGTCAGACACGTGATGGGGGCATTGGGAAGGAGGATAAACGGGACTTGTGGGCTCAAAACCACTGGCAGCAAAGCTAACCTGGGCAGCACTTCTGGGATAGAGGGAAGGGCTGGGTGCAACCAGCAGCCCTCTGTACCATCCTGTCCCTGGGGATGAGGGACGTGGTGGATTCCAGGTCAGAGGTCCGAGTCCTGAGGGATTAAAGGAGATTAAATATCTTTTTCTCCCAAACTGGAGGTTTGGGTAATTAATTGCTCCCTGAACATGAAAGCTGGAAATGGTCGCCCTCCATCCACACCAGATTCCTTCTGCTACTCTTATTGGTTGTCTCTTCAGGGGAAAACACACATGGAGGGTAACAAATATTCCCTTTTTTTGGTAAAACACCATCATTCAGAACAGGGGACAAATCTGTTCCTAATGGTGCTTACCTGGTTTTCCAAATCAACATTTAAAGTTAAGAATTCCTGCAAATTCCACCCAAATTGCTTGGAGCAGCCAAAGGGGGAGCCTGAGGGGAAAAAGGGCAGGCAGCCCCTGCTGGGGGAGCCTTGGGATGCAGAGCACGGCGGGTTTGGAGTGCCGTGCCCTGCTGGGAAGGGCAGGGAGGTGGATCCAGGCAGGATCAGGGAGCCCCCCCCCAGCTTCTCCTCGGAGCATCTTGTCCAACTCCACTAAGGATTTAAACACCCGTTGAAATTAATCTGCTGGATAAAACCTTTTCTTCATAGTCTTCATTAATCACCCGTCCTTCCCGTAGTTCCTTGCAGGAAAATAGATTTTTAAACCTGTCAGCTGTGGTTTTGTGGGATTCATTTCGTGTCTGTTCTGCACTGCCGGGGAGGAGGGAGACAATTAACCCAGGGCTTTGAAAACTCCGAGCGCTGCACCGAGCCCGGAGCTGGGAATTATGTAACCACTGGGTGGGCTGGGGGCATTAAACACTTTAAATAATTAGAGTTGGGGTCCGGGGATTTCAGGTTTTCCGGCACGCCAGGATATTGGCAGGGCTGGAAATCCATCCCAGGCCACTTTCCTGGGACAGCGGGGGCTGCCAGCCGCGTGTCCCCATGGATTGGGGAAGGGGAGGGAGGCTCCAGCGCCTGCACAGCCCGGGATGGAGGTCACAGAGGGCAGATTTCCATCACATGGGATGTGTGATCCCAAATCCCAGCTCCGGTGCCAGCAGGCCGCCGAGAAATCCCAGCGTGGCATCAATAATGGATGGAGGCGGAACTGCGGGGCCCGAGGAGGAAACACTTCCAGGAAAGGCAGCGGAGGAGCCCCCGGGGAGCGCGGCTGTGGCTCCCGAGCGAGCCGGGCCATTAGCGGTGCCGGGAAGGGAGCGGTGTGGGGAGGGGACCAGCCTCGCCCCACTGCTGGGGACTGCTGGGTTGGACAGCCTTGGAGCCACCTGGGACAGCAGAAGGGGTCCCTGCCATGGCAGAGCTGGCACTGGATGGCCTCTGAGCTCTTTTCCAACCCAAACCAGTCTGGAATTGTCAGACTTTGAGCACAGAACATCACCCCACGGGGAGGGCTCTGAGGCTGCTCCAGCAGAGACACGGCCGAGCACTGTGCTCCTTTTCCATCTGGAGAAATCCATAGCTGGTGACATTTCTGGGACGTGCTATTTCTGCCTTCTGAGGGGGCTGCAAAAATCAGAGTGGCTTTCAAGAAATGAAGGCACCTTATTTAAACTGAGAAAATTGTTCTTGCTGATGAACTTCAAGTTTTTCTGCAGTGTCTCTGGTGACATAATCCCACAGGATCCAAGGTGAAAAGGACAGGTTTGGTGGAGATGTTGGAATATGCAATGGAGAAGGGTCCAAATGGGATTTGGAGACCCCTTGAGCTGCTCCACTGGGGTGCTGTAAATGGTTACCCAGAAAAAAACTCCCCCAAAACTGGGGGTCAGAAGGTGCTCCTCAGCAAAGAGCAGTGGGACACGACAGCTTGGAAGTTACAAAAGCAATTCCCTGATGGAAAGCAACC